AGGATAGATAGATAGATAGATAGATAGATAGATAGATAGATAGATAGATAGATAGATAGATAGATTTATTTCTCTATCTATCGATCTATCACTATCACATTATCAGTCTATCTATATTTCATATTCACATTGCTACAAACACACACATATCTACTATAATTGTATATTAGTTAGTGACATATGCTTAAATGATTACACATTTCTGTACCTATGTATATCCCCTGAGTGTAAATGTATTTATATTTGTATAAAACAAAATGCATTGTCATTTTAGGTGAGATTAGCACATGCAGCAACAAAGCTACTTACAGCTTTAACTTTCATCCCAAATAATAAGATTCATCTTTAATTTTCCTGCTGATCCCGTTGTCCGGTATTCACATTAATAATCTGCACCATAAATGTTGCTAACTATTGATCGAAATCCCCCGTGTCGATGCAAATCCATCTTGAAGTCCCAGCCTTTCATGTAGGAAGGAGCAGGGGCCCTCTATTGGGCTCGACCCCCAATGTGTCTGTTTAAAAGAAGAAGAAGCCCATATAGGCGACGTGTGCTGATGGCTATTCTGCCTGTCACCATTACCCCCAAAAATGATGGGCAGATCTCGGGAACAAAAGCTGTCTGGGTGTAAAGTGGAGAAGGAGAATATGGAATGGCATATAGAGCAGAGAGTCAGAGTCTCTGACATTCCGTAGGACCTCCAAACTATGGGACCATGTCATCCCCATCCCCTCCCAAATAACCCCAACCTTCATCGTTATAGATCAGTCAAATTCTTGTCCAGGGCCTTCCTATATCCAGCAAGCTGAAAGTCTGTATTTTTTTTTTTTTATGACTGCTTGCAATGGCTGCTATTCCCTCTATTCAGGAAAAGCAGGGACACCCATCCCTCTGCCTCCAATTCCAAAATAAGAATAAAAAATCCTGACATGTGACAATCACACAGGAATCAGACACGTTACACACAGCCTGTACCCAGGTGTATAGCATTTATGTTATTATTCAGGACACATTTCACTTTATTCACCTTTTTGTTTTTGTCTGTAATACATTCAGAGACAACATGGTGAATTGCAGGACTTTATGGTACAATTCCTTGAAGTAGGTAGCAGCAAACCCTTCATCCACGTATATGGAAGCTGGAGGTATATAGATTAGGTTCAGACACAGCGTGTGTAGGCGATGCTCTGGCTTCCTTCTATAGGATCATTGTTCATCCTGGGCGATGTCACCACCTAAGCCGTCGCGTTTGCTGTGTCCGTCCGTCCCTGCGTTGGGTCTGTATGCGTCTTGAACTGGCGTTTTGCAGGAGGGCAAGGAGAAAGCCCCCAAAAAAGCCAGCTTGCCTTGCATCTGTTCCAGTAGGCAGATCTGCTCTCTCAAGTCTTCCTACCTGATGTCCCCTCATTAAAATTGCCAATCCATTTAAAATGTCAAGAGAGGAGCGACTGCAAAATACAACCGCAAATGTGGAAGGTTTAATTACCTACTTTTCGTTTTAAAAAAACGCTGGCTGCAAAAAAATAAATGCTTTTTAAAAGCGTGTTAATGAAAGCGAAATGTAAATGAAAGAAGCTATAGATTGCACGAATTCTCTGCTGCTTTTTCTCTGTTCTGCGATCCTATCCCCAATCATTTGTATTGCAATTAAAATTCAATGGGCAAGAACCCAGATTTTAGAAATATATATATATCTAGAGATATATATCTAGATATATGTCTGTTTATATATATTGGTGTGTGCATGCCG